TCAAGTGACTATATTATTAAAGACTTACTCAAACCCTTTTAGAATAATCAGAAAGCAATAAATGGGAATTCTTTAAGAAGAGATTTCTAGGAAAATTATGAATGCTGAAATTACCTTGCCTAGAAATTAGGTATAAAAGTCTTAATTGTGAAGTAAGGCTATTAATACCTAAATTAATTTAATTTAATTTTAAACATTAAGTCAGAATTTTGAAGTGAGACATTAATGAGTATCATAAGGTTGTCATATGTTAGGGCTAATGATTAAGATTTAATGCCAAAAATTCTTCCAAATAATTTAAACTAGTGAATATTCAACATAAATATGATAATTTTAATAACATTAAATTTAATAAACAATGTGCTAAGATTATTATTTTTTTTACCCTTTGCATATAATGAATAGATTTTTTTAGAATAGATAGCTAGGGTTTTATTAATTTTGTTAATAATCAATCAAAATTGACATATCATTGATATTGATACGTGGAAATTATTATATTTTAGTATTTAGACAACAGGCTAATGAATTAGCATAGTTCTGGGTTGATATTTACTTAATCTTTCATTTTAACATTAAGCATCCTTATATGAATACATAAAATATAATAACCTAAACTAGGTAGGAAATAAAATTTTAATGGATCGAAATTCAAATTTTGATTTAGCTATTCTATGATATTATCCCCTCATTATTAATATTTGTTTAGTCTTATTAAGACAACTATACACATACCTAAACCATAGAATATCAATAGTTATTTTTTGAGGATAGAGAATGGAGCTAAATCTAAACTTTTGATAGCCTCATCAGGTAATTTCATATTTGATAAAGTTGTATTTTATTTATATTAAGCAATCACCTTTGAAATTAATTTTCAATACCTTTATCTGATAAGGAGTATACAAGTACTTTACTTACAAGTCTTGTTGCATTATCAAATTCTTTAAAACCTTTTAAAAAATCACCCAATAAAATTGGTATACAATTTATATATTTAGAAATAAGAGATTGATTATGATTCGGATCAATCTCATAGATTTGTTACAAACACTCTGAATCTTCAGAATATTATTCGAAATGCCTTATTCATTTAAAAAAAATATTATTATTTTTTTAAATTTGCCTAACTATTAATTTTTATACTCTTTTCATAAAATGAATGCAGATATTTTGGATTAATTTATATGCTTTTGTCAAAAAAATAATTGCTTCAAGATAATTTTTTATCAGTTTTATATACAATTATAATTTATGTTACTAATCTAGCTATTTATATCTAGATTTCCCTAAAATTTATAGATATATTTGAGTCATCTGACTTTGTAATATTAACATAATTGTATTATCTATCTCAATATAACCTAATTTGATATAATTATAAATATCAAATTAGTTTGATGAAATAATATGCCAAGAATATATATGAAGTTTTGCAAAATTTTAATATAATAAAACTAATAAAGATTTGATAAATAAAAATTAAAGGGAGGCTTTTGTAATAGTTTGGATCGTGTTTATATTTAAATAGTACTATTTAAGCATAGCGTCTAATAATTTTAATTGGATTAAGCTTAGAATAAGCTAATTAAATAATATATCCAATATTCCCGAGGTATCACCTTATTATAATTGATATCATAAAATATTTTACATTTATTTCTCCTGAATTCTGTATTAATTATTATCAAATATTCAATTAATTAGTATTTTACTAAAACTATCTATTATTAAAATATTTACATTTTTTAATGTTCTATCTCTGATTCTTTAGGAATTAAGCCAACAATCATAATCTGAAGTTTTTCAAAATTCCTATAGAATTAAGCTGGATATAATCTTTATTAACATCAATTTTTTAGAAAAAAAACTAATTATTGTTATACTTAATGTTTACTAAATAACCTTTTATCAATTAAAATAGATATATCATATCTTCGGACAGATTGTATATTATTTTTATATAAATTTACCAACAATATAACTGATCTATCTTCTAACTTTTATTTAGTATGAATTTTTATGATGATCATCAAAATTTGAAGATCCACTTTAACGATGCAATTTAAGTTCTACTTTCTAAATAATCTGAATTCTTCATTTCCATAAACAGATATCTTAAAAAACAATCGGCTTCCACAATAGATTTATTATGCTATTAGAAAAAATAATGATGCATAATAATCAATCTTAATTGAGAACATTTGGTCACTTGCAACTACAAAATTAAAAATGAAATTAAAAAATATCATGATTGATTAGTTTTCTTAAATATCTCAAAATTCAATAGGCAGAAATACATTCTGTTTTCAACCATTTTCCTTAATTTTAGTCATGCTGAAAAATATTTTTCTAAAAAATTATTAACTATAAAAAATGACAAAAAAATATATATTTATATTGATAATTTACATTTCTCAGATTTCAATTAAAATAACATCTAGTAATGTGTTATAGTTTAACCTTCAACTATTTAAAATATCTAAATTAATATTAAGGTAGTTGATAATCTAATTTATAAATATTAATTTATCTTCCTAAATCAAGCCACAATTATGCTACAAGTTGATCAAATATAACTAGTTCCTATAAATGTAGGCATAAAAAACTGTATGCTCTAAAATTTGAAGGTTAAAAATTTCTTTTCACACCCAAGATCCATTTATCTAAAATATAATTAATAAAAGTATACCATCTAAATACTTAGATTTGCGTTAAATATGTCGAATTTTTAAACTGAACTTCCATTTGTATATGGAACAGAGATAATCTAAAAGTTAGTAATCCTTAAGATCCACCAGATCATCAAAAATAAAAATTATCAAACCAAATCATTTAAATTACCCTTAATACTAGATTTTTAATATAATTAACATCCTTGTGCACATAACACAGCTTTAAATGTAATTATTATAAACACTCAGAATTTCTTTCTAAAATTCCAGAAATTGTGAGCATGGAATTTACCATCTAAATAATGATTAGTTGTTAAAATCCATCCTTTTAGTGATATAAAATGATTAAATATATATTATAATAATGTTGAATAAAATTGGATAATCATCATTTCTATAAATTGTTTTTAATCAAAACTTCATGCAGAGGACTACCTAAAATTAATATAATATTACTTTGGAGATTTAATGATTAAATTAATTTAATCTATAAATGAAGCATTCATTTTTTCATTTATAATTGCAAATATTGTATCATTAATATCAAACTCTTTATGAGTGGATTTTCGTACAATTGCATTCAATTCCTCTATAATCATCTGTTCATTTTCTTCTTTATTCAAAAATATAATTCCTTAGGGATGTAAAAATTATAGGGATTATAATAATTTTGATTTATCATTATCGTGATCTTCACTTAAGTGAAAATCAGTTATTAGTATGTAAATCATATCCTAAAATTTTTTTAAATATTTGATGGTTTCAATTAATTTTCGTTTCATAATATCAGTTCTTTCAAAATTAACAACAATTATAATTGCACTAATTGAATTCTTAAAATTAATAAAGAATTTTTAAAATTATGAAATAGTATCCTCTCTTTTAGCTATGCTAGATTCTAAATCCATAGTTGGTGTGTCAACTATGCAAAGATCTCCTATTTTTCCCAATTGAAATTTATCAAAGTTCATTATAGTTTTGCATTTTAAATAGTTGTATGTTTATGTTTTTCCAACACCAGATGGACCTATTAATAATATTTTTTATAATTCTAAAGTTTGTTTTTGATGTAAGTATAATAATGCGATGCCTCCTATATATATAAATATAATCATGGCTTTTAAAATAAATGATAAAGTATCTCTAGGAATAACAGCAATAGCTATTACAGGTAATATCATTAAAATAAAGACAAGTGTCTGTTTAAACTTCAAGTTCATTTCAATAATTAAATAATACAATTGAGTTCGCTTATGCTCTTTAATAATCATTCTAATAGAATTATAAATCTGTGGGTTTTTACATAAATCTATTAAGTTTAATAAAAAATTATTATTAATTATAATTTATTAGAAATATATATTTTTGTTTTTTATTTTGAGATTAATTAATTAAAGCAAGATAAAGAAATTCATTTATAACATAAAAAAATAGATTAATTTATTAAAGAACTCAAGACAGATAAATCGATCAATATTTTAAACGATAGTAAATTAAAAAACCAATTTTTATTATTATTTAAATTTAGCTGTGAGTGAGGCTTTAATTGAAAATTAAAGTGGATGTTAAAAATGACATTTTCAAGATGATTCTTGCTCTTCCTTCTATTCTCATCAATCAATCATTAAATTTATCCTTAGATTGTAGATAATAATTAGCATGACATATACAGCCATTCGGTTTAGCCTATAGTTTTTGGAGAAGGTCATGATTTTAAAACTAGAGTATCCGTATAAGCTGGTCAATACTACCAATATATATATATTTGTTTTAGCAAAGCAATTAATATTAGTATAATATCAGAATAAATAATATTGAAACTCTACAGATATTTTGTTTCTAAATTTATTTCGATGAGCTTCAATTTCCTAGATCTAACAATCTGCATCAAGTGTGTGAAAAAAATAAATAAATTTAAAACCCCATTTCAAAATTATTTCTTTGAGTCTATGTTTTTATTATCAGTATATTGATTATTCTTCATTGAATTAAATTAATCTAATTTGTTCAAGGCATTCATTCATTTTATCCTTGCATCATTAAGTTAAACATAATTATATATTTTCTATCATCAATATTATTTTAAAGTTGTGTAATTAGAAAAAATCATACATATAAAAAATACTAATCCTAATTTCATATGAAATAATTAACCTTTAATGTTGATTATTGGACTTTTTTATAAATAATAACTTCATGATCATTTTACATCTGACACATTTTTACTTTTTCTATGAACACATTAAATAATTTAATAAGATAATTTTAAATTATTATCCTGATTAAAATACTTTTTTTGATTTCTTATACTTTCAAAATTTTGACTTGTGGATTTGTTTAGCTGGATAAAAATAGAAATATATATAATCAAGAGTAAGATTAAAAAATTGCCTACATGCCTAAACCATGAACTCCCTTTTAAAAAGATTGTTTATCATTAACTCTTAAAAATAAAGATAGCTCAAAATAGTTGTGAACTTCTTATTTTAATTCGCTAGGTAATCTACTTCGATTTAATTTAATTTAGAAATTGTTAAATATATAGGAATAACAAAATTACCAAAATTAGAATCATTATATTTTTTTTTTCAAAAGCTCATTAATCTTTGAGGATTTTTCTTTGTTAAATTGAAAAGAATTATATTATTGTATTTTAGTATTGAATATTTTTGCATTAGTAATTTGATGTGGAATAAATATTTCTAGAACAATAATTTTCACACTATATTTTTATTTGAAAATTAATTAATACGAATTCGGAATATAATGGAAGTTTAGAGGATATACACACATATTATGTGGTTGAGTATCTGATCAACTCTGTTTGTAACTATTTTTCAATCTTAGAATTTCAAAATAAATTGGAATCAATGAATTTAGGGAAATTTATCAATATAGATTCACAATTTGACTCATCAAATATTATTCTTTTTCTTCTGTACTTATTTCATTTTCTGCTTCTTTTCATGCTATTAGTTATGATCATTAGTTTATTTGTGATTATTGATTTTTAGTTTTAAATCATTTATCAATTTTTAAACTTCTTTATTTTTTGGATTTATCATGAATACACTATTGTAGCACTTTAATTCTTCCTAAAACTGTTTAATACAACCTAATGAATAACCTAATTAATCAATTTTATTATTTTACCTTTATTCATTAACAAAGTTTAGGTTATATCTTCATTTGGATTAAGAGACAGTGCTTGATTAAAACATTTAATCGCATTTTGATATTTTTTTAGCACTTGTAAGCAAAATGCTAAAGATTATTCACAGATTACCTTTTTCCAAATAATATTCAATGTCAATTGGATTTATTTTAATTGCATTATTATAATATTCGATTGCTTCTTTAGGTCTATCCAATTCTCGTAGCAAATTAGCTATTATAATAATTAGAAATACCCATATTAAATTGAGCAAATTCATTTTTGGGGTTTAGATTGATGGCCTTTGAAAAATATAATATTGCTTCCTCCTATTTATTAAGATTAAGTAATGCGGCACCTAAATTATATATTTTTTAGAATACCTAATTTATTATATGCTTCATCATTTTTTGGATTTTTTTATATGGCTATTTTTGCTACCTATAAACCTTGTTCGAATTAGTTCAATTCTATTAATGCAGCACCTGATATTATAAAATTAATACTTTTATTAACATAGGCCTCATCATTTGAAGGACTTAATTTAATTACTTTATCAAATTAAATAATTGATTCTTCAAATTTTCTTTAACACAATAATGAAAGTCCTCTATTTATTAACAATTTTTCAGAATTTAAGCTTGACTTTTTTGATTGTTCTTTCTATTTAAGATTCTTCTCTTAATCTTATAATTCCACTAATATCTATACTAAATTATTACTTTATTAATTTTTTATTGAAATCTTTTCTTTCTTCCTCTTTTACAATTTAACTTTTTGAATCTTATTTCCGTTTTTATTTTATTACTTTTACTTGATTTTTTTCATAGTTAAGAAAAATTAATTAATATATATAATTATATCTATTTTGCATTTATTTTTTTAACTATTTATACTCTGTAATATTTATTTTTCAATATACATTCTCACTTAAATTACTTTTGACAAGCTGTCCCATGTAATTAAATATATTCCATCCTCACTGATTCCGAAATTAATAGATTATTCTACTATAAACTAATTATCATCTTTCTATCTTTTAATATGAACATAGAAGCCATGTTTATTAAAGAGAAGGTGTTTTTCTTATATATACTATTAAGAAAACAAGGAGTAAATATCTTGACTTTTTAAAAAATCTTTTTCTGATTTCTTTATAATTTAATCATTTTATATCTAATAAATATACATTTATTATCTATTATTTGGTTAAAATGCAAATAAATCATCATTTATAAAACTCAATCTTAATCCATACTATTCTACAACTATCCTTTTTTTCACAACCCATCTCTATCTGATTCTTAAGATTCAATCATTAGTATTGACTTATCTTCACTGCATGTAATTAATTTATTTTATTATTCATTTATATTTAATGCTAATATTCTATTTTTATGATCATTAATAGCTTACTAACAATTCCATTAATATTATTTGTGCCAAAATTTAATTGTCAAATCATCACTACCTGAAATTATAAGATCGTCAGTTTTATTAATTAAAACACATCTAATAAAATTAACATGACCTTCTAATTTTTATTTGCATTCCCATAAATTATTTTGATTAATTGACCATATGATTATTTAATTATGTGCACAGATTATCAATTAATTTATAATCTTCATAAAATTTAAAGCAAATATAACATTTTTATTTGTATGTTCTGCTAAAATTTAAATTTGCTTTAATATTCCAGCTTTGAATTCAAATACCTTTATTGTTTACCTCATGAAGCAGCCAATAACTAATTGTCTTTATTAATAGCTATGGCATAACAAGATTCAGATTATTTAATTGAAGCATCTTTATTCAATTCATAAATTAACTTTTTTGATTCATTTTACTGTTGATTATTTTAAGTAATTTTGAAAATATTTCTATAGTATTCAAATTACCAAATTTTAGTTTGCTAAAATTCTTTAAAACAGCATAGTTTATTAAAATAGTATTTAATTTTTTTTAGTTCATTTCTTTCCATTAATTATATATCTATTAAATAGATTGATACTGAATTTCAGAATTTTTAATTGCTTCTTGATATTCATTTAATAATCTTAAACAATCCCCTATTAATTATTTATTATTTTCACCTTTACACCATAAAGAATTATGGTTTTTTGGATTTTATTATATTGATTTATCTAAAATTACAATGGCCTATTCATACTTATCTTCTTAATATATAACCAATAATAATAAACTAAATTAATCCTTTAATTAATAACCTAAGTGAATGTAATACCTTTTTAATATAATTCTTCAGATATTTGAATACAATTATTATCATTTTAATAATAATTAAATGATGATAATAATAATTATTGATATAAATTATTAAATGAATTAGTTAATTTTTTATTTTATTCTAAGATGATTGTGGTAATTGATTGTTTATATTCATTAAATTTGATTGTAGAATTCAAGAAATCATTTATTGATTAAGAATTCAAAAGTATTAATTTTTGTTAATATAATTAATATTTCTATCTGATTCCTATTTTCAATTAAGAAAATGATTGATTTACACTTTCTTCTTATTAGTTAAGATCATCAATTAAATTATCACATTCTTTATTTTTATTTTCAATGAATTCAATCAAACTATTGATTTTTTCAACATCATCAAAATGATCATGATGTATTCTTCCTTTTTTTTAACATTTAAAACAATTTAATCTGAATTCTTTACAAAATTCATTGTAACAAACTATGTCTATCTCATCTTAATAATCATCCTTATACTAATTTTCATGAGTAAAAATTGAAAAAAACAAATTCTAACATTTTAACGAATTCTTCTGATAACTCTATCACTTAAACAGTGGAATAGAATATTAAAATGACCGTTCTAAATAAAAACTTATTATTGCTCATTAAAATCTTTACTTAAATAAAAACAAAAATTTTTTCAGTTTCTTTAATAATTTCAAGACAATATATTTAACAGAAAATACTTATTTTTACCTTTATTCATAAAAAATCGAGAATTTTATATGAATATCAGATTTATTAAATAAAATAATTTTTGAACTAGTTTTAGTACTCATTATCATTATAATAATAATGCTAAATTTCATAAAGAGATAAATTGCATTGTAAATGGGGATAATTATAGTTTGATTTTTTGAACTTCAGTGTATATTAATGTGGATTAAGTGAAACAGACTCAAATAACAATAATTACCAATGATAATTTGACGATATTGCACAACTTCTTAATTTTGAAAAAAATTATGTGTTATGCAGACAGGCAGAAGGTTTAATATAATAAAAGAAACCCAAAAGGTTTAGAGAATGTCATGAGTGTCATCAGTCAATGGAATATTTAGGCAATCACTACCAATGAACCACAATATGCCTAGCCTATAACTTTCCTGATGATCACTGAAATATTATTCGCCTAAAAAAATAAATGAGTGAGTTAAATATTCCCTTAATCTCTTATCAGTTAATAATTCATAAAAGAAAAATGATATTTAAATTTCAAAATCATGCTCTATCTCAAAAAATTGAATTGACATCATACTCCTTTGACCTTTTAGGTCATTTATAACACTAATGTATCACTAGATTTAATTCCCTCTCTGCCTTTCTTCATGTAATAATTTCATTTCCCCCAAATTTAATCAAGGCAGTGCCCTACCAAGATCGATTTTATCCTGAGTTTATTAGATTTTAGACTTGGTAAAAATGCCTTCTAGAATGAAAGGTTTCGTATTCCAGTGGATCATCATTGACTCTTTTGCATGGTGTAATAGTCTCTTTCTTATAATGTTAATTTGAGTCTTTTTAATTCAAATTATCAATTATTTAAATTTTCTATATAATCTAATAATATTGATTATATCTTAAAAAATAAAAAATTATGTCAACAATAAGGTAATGTAATCTCATGAGAAATTTTTACAATAATTATGTGATTATCTTTAATTTTTGTTCATATAATTATGACAATTCTAGTAATAGGCCACTCTTAATTTGACAATATATTGAATAATCGTAGATATATTACTAGATTAATTAAATAATAAAATACTTATATATTAATATATAAAATTAAATTAATGGAAATAAGTGCTTTCAGATACACTTTTGGAAATAAAAACCCACTTAGGCTTCTTAGCTGCAATAAAGGGCCTCAAAGGTTAACAGAGAAGCCCAGGGTTTGGGTTTGGGTTTGGGTTTGGGGTTGGGTTTGGGTTTGGGGTTGGGGTTGGGTTTGGG